GAAGGAAAAACTCCCTTTTAACAGGAAGAAACCTCCGGCAGAACCAGGCTCAGGGAGGGGCGGCCATCTGCTGCGACCGGTTGGGGTGAGAGAAGGATGCTGCTGGGTTTTGTTTTGTTTTGTGGGTTATAACTACATATAACTACACAGTTAGAAATGCATTAATATTAGTGGACTCTGTAACACTTTAGCACATTTTCAACTTGAAACGCTTATATTTCTGAGTATGTGTCGCATTACAGAGAAAAATCAGATGTGATGCGATTTAAAATACTTACCTACTTGTGTTTTGCAATAAAGTATAATCAATTTTACAGTTGAGCTCTGTTTAAAGGTGTGTTTGTTTTTTTCTCAAATATACCCACTTCAGTATCATTTAAACACACTCATATTTCTGTCTTTTTTGTATCCTTTTTTTTATATTCCTAAAATCATTTCTCATGCTATTTTCTAAGTTAAAACATCATAAAAAAATTAAGATTTCTTCTGAAAATGTATGCTAAGCACTGCATGTTTAAATAAAAAAATTCACATTATGCATAATATTTAAGATAATTATCTTCTCAGACTATTATCAGGCTATACCCTGCTCTTCCTGTATATAAATTGCTATAATGAAATAAATTATACAATAAAAAACACAAAACTGTCAAATCTAAAATAGCATATTTTCTTATTTATATGCACATTGTGAGCACTTGAAGACTAGATCTTCATGACTGTGTATTTTCCTGACAGACATCAATGGCACCCAGATCTGCCCATACAGCGTGCAAGCTGACCCGAGTGATATGAGCCAGGTTCCCAAGCTAAGGTATTTCACATTATGTCATAATGCGTGTCTCAGCACTAACCTAAATAATGAACTTTTCTGAGCTGCGTGACCTGTGTGTTAACAGGAAGTAAACAAGAACAAAAGAATTTTGTCTGGAAATGCCAAGTTCAAAGAGTTAAAATCCCAATGACATATTAGATACCTGCTCTGTTGTTTTCAGGTATCTCCGTTTGGATGGAAATCACCTGAACCCTCCCATCCCTCTGGATGTCATCATGTGCTTCAGGCTCCTTCACTCTATTGTCATTTAGGAAAACCATGCCTAAAGGCATGGGGGCTTGCACATGCAGTACTGTGCAAAAGTCTTGAGCTACGCAGCATTTCTTTATATTTTGCTAGGAAAGTGTGAAAAATGTGCTTTCTTCTCATTTCTTTAAGTGGTCTCCAGAAATTGTTGTCCGGGCTTCTTGAAAGACATTCAAAGCTCTTCCTTGAATGTTGGCTGCCTTTTGTTCTCTTCCCTATCAAGAGGATCCCACACTGCTTCAGCAATTTTGAGGTCTGGGATCTGGAGAGGCCAATCCAAGACTGACAGTGTTTAATTGGGTGTTTTTCTGTCCTGGTATCTTTTACTGCTCTGGCAGTGTGTTTGGGATCGTTGTCATACTGAAAGTTGAAGCTTCTTCTAATCAGATACTTTGCAGAAGGTACCACGTGGTGGATCAAAATCTGACCGTACATTTCTGTAGTATTGATGTCAATTGATTTGACAAGATCCCCAGCACCACTCGCTGAAATGTAGCCACAAGCCATGACAGGGCCTCGGCCATGTTTGGCTGCAGTCACACACTGTGTTACATCTTTCTTATTGACTATAATTTGAACTAAAAAATTCAAATTTTTGTTTCAAAGAAGACCCGTTGGGACTGATATTTGGTCCAGTTCTTGTGTAATTTGACATACCTTAACATTTTCTCCATTTTACTTCTTAACAGCCACTCTTCCATTTCTTATGAGGCTTCAGTGAACAGTAAACGAACTGAAGGGTCAGATGCATCTCTCAGGTCATGTTTCAGATCTTTGCTGGATTATTTGACCTATTTCTTCTGAATATAACTTTCAGAAAAACTTTTAAAAGATTTTAAGATCTTGGAGAATTGTTGCTCACTGCTATAAAGAATTAAAAGAAAGTCTGGCTCCAAAACAACAAGAAATGAGGGGTGGCTCAAGACTTTTGCACAGTACTACTGACACACACACACACACATCCATGAAAACATAGACTCACTTTGTACTAGGTGCATTTCATTGCAAAGTATGGTGTTTATCAGCAGTAGACGCTGTGGAACTGTAATACTGAGAGAGGGGCTGCAAATAACTGCAAAACTTGGATGGTTCAAACTTTTTTAATTGTGATGACAAATTTAACTATTGCCATTTTTTGGACAGTCCCAACATTAAACTACAAATCAGCATAAACTGTGGCTATGCTGACATTTAGAGTTAGGTTTCTGCAGTAGTTGCAGTTTATCAGTGTTTTTTGTTTACAAAACTTCATGTAAAGAAAAAAGTGAAAAATATAGCTTGAGCAAAGCCTGAAAACACAGGGACATTTACAGACATGCTACAGACATAAACGGTAGTTAAGTTCACAAGAATAGGTCAACAGAGTGGGGCAGCCGTCGGAGGCAATGAATAAATATGCAGTGTAAGTTAAAAGAGATAACCAGCTTTAAATAACTAGCTCCATGTAGTTAAAACAGTTTCAAATGTGCCTGTGATTTTCAAGATACTCTTTGTAAAAATGTCATTTTATTCTTGTTATCCCTAATCTTTTGTATAATATTCTTCTGTATAAAGAAGCTTTGTACAAACAATGGAAAATAAAAGTTCTCCTTGATCATCTGAAAATGCTTGATGTTTGAAATAAAAAATGTAGTTTTCTTCCTCATTTTTCTTTTCTAATATGCCTCACTGCTCTCTCTGCTTAGTCAACACCAACCCGACCTGTTTCACAATAATATAAGCCTTTGGATAAAAGCAACATGTTAGTAACTGACCAGGTATAAAAGGAACATTCCAAAGAAGCTATAGGTAAGGGCGTTGCCTGTCTGTGAAAGTGTGCAAGAACCGTAAAAGACGGATGTAGCACTATAACGTCAAGGTCGGCATTTTGGCTGACGCCATGTTGGTTGTTTGGAGACTGAAGTTAACATATTATATATATACGTGAAGCTTGGTTTGGCAAATTAGTGCTAAGTAAAAAACTAATAATTGACTCACCAAAACTGAAGCACAAAATTCTGTGTTGGTCTGCACCACAGAGGAAACCACAAGTTACTCATTTAAGACCATTAAAGGCTCCAGAAGCACCAACATGGGAGAGGTCTATACCAGTGACTTGAATTAGCAGAGGTGAGGTCTAGTAGATGCTAAAGGGCCACAGCTACTTGTGCTGGGACACCTGTCAATGAACCCACCCAAAGTCTTGACTCAATAATCCAGGTGGATATTTATATACATTTCTTTTTCCACCAGGTCTTGAAAATGCCTTTTTTTTAATGCTTTAAAGTTTGGCTTTTTATCATCACGACTTCCTCTCGCAGCTAACTTCAAGTGGCAGGAACCAAAGGTTTGTGCACTTCCTCGCTGGCTTCATTTTAAACTCATATATACATGGCTATTTGAGAATAACAATTTCTAAATGTAAACTTTCAGATAATCTGAAGATTTGTTTCTCAGGGTGACATAATAAAAAGAGACAAGAACCTAGTAGTGTAAATCACTGAATGGCCTCACCGTTACTGAACACAGTTTGACGCTTGAGTCACAAATACAAGTTAAAGCTGCAACATTCAAAGAAAAAGATCCAGAAATGGTGCCATGTCCTGTGAGCCTGAGCTCATCGAAAAGACAGCATTTATGATGTAGTACATTAGTACACAAGCTCACGTTAATGCTGAACAGTATACACAGGTACTGAAGTAACATATGCTAGCATCCAGAAAACATTTTTTCATGAGAGGCCCTTGTTTATTTAGCAAGGCAGCAGTTAACCACATGCTAAACGAGTTAGGACAACATGACTTTTGAAAAAAAGAAGTTTGCGTGCTGAACTAGCCTGAAGGGCCTGGCTCTG